ACTCTCTCAGCCAGTTTGCACTGCTCCAATCTAACCTTCCATGCTAGTAGTAGAGGGGCATCTGGCTTTGTTTGGGAAGAGTACAGAATCTGAAAATAGAGGCCCTGTGCAGGTAGATTAAGGGTTGAGTGGGAATTTTGAATCTTGTCTGTTATTTTGGCAGGGAACTGAAAGAAGCCACTTGCTACTCTAGTACAAAAGGTGGAGGCTAGACACAAATAACAACTTCCTGCTGTGAGAATTGTTGACATCTAAAACAAATCCTTAAAAAGACCTAGGTTCCCATTTGACTAAGATGCTATCTACTTAGGGGACTGGAAAGATAACCTTTGGAGCTTAGTCCATTGGGAGGATATTACCATTCTAGAGAGGATCCTACAACAGAAAGCAGGCGGTTAACCTGAGGTGAGTTATCCAGTATTACCTTCCAACATGTGATTCTGAGGTAATGTTGGATAGAACAATAAATACGACACAGTGGCCAATGAAGAACTTCCATTCTCAAGTGGCTCATCTAACTTTAATGAGGAAATTCTACCACTTCAGTACTTTAGAAGACTGGAAATTTTGAAAGGAATATTAGCCCTCCCCCCAAAAACAGGTCTGAAAATCTTCATAGGGCCCCATTCCTTTGGATAAGACACTATCTTCTACACTTTGGCTGACAATTTCAGCCTTTCACATTCCTTTTTCCCACTTATCAAAAAGAGGTTTAAGTTAAAAAATAAAGTTTGAGAAATACCGCAACACTACCTTAGTGGAAGTTGATGTGGCTTATTCAGGAATTTATTCAGCAAACGAGGATAAAGGCTAAACTGGAGCCCTGGATGTTGCTACTTTTGAAGCATTCACAGTCTGAAGCAGACCTGTAAAGAGGTAAATCACAGCCCATGTCTGAGGGTTGTGGAAATAGCCTAGGCTTCAGAGCCACAAAGACTTGGGAGGGAATCATATTTCCCTTCTTCCTTAGTGGTGTTATCGTAGGCCATGCAGCTGAGCTTTGGACTGCTCATTGTAAACTGATGAAACAAAACCAGCTTCACAGAATTGTGAGAGTCATGTGAAAGACAAAATGTGCCAGGCAGTTAAGGAGATGATTTTATTCAGGATATAGCCACAGGGTGAATGTGCAAAGAAAACAAAGGAAAGTTAGGGTTTTATATAGGCAGATAAACAAAGAAATGCTCTTGAGTCTTAGGGGAGTCATGAGGAAGAGCGGAGAGGGACTTATGTTGGAATATGCCAGGGAAATGTGGTCCTTTAAAATTAGCTGTTTGGGGAACACAAAAGGTTGGGAGAGTTTCTCAACTGTGACTGCTTTCTTGGAGCCCAGGGCTCAGATAAAGTTAAAAGTTGTCAGGCATTTAGCATAGGGACTGGCCAAGGGTAAGCATTCAGCAAGGGTTTCTATCCCTCCCTTTCTCTAACAGAGGGATGTACAAAGTAGTGTTGGGGGTTCAGAGAAGGGACTGACAGATTTACTTTGCTTGGGAGAACTCGATTTGACAAAGGATCCCGAATCTTAAAAGATGAATAGTGGTTTGCCCAAAATAAGGAAGAAAGGAGAACATTCTAGGTAAAGGTATGGAGGCTTACAAGAGGTTTGCATATTTGGAGATCATGTGCAATTTCAATGTGGTATAAGGAGTAACTGGACATGAAGTTTGTTAGAGCCAAATTGGAGAAACTCTTGAAAAGCCATTTTATACCTATTGTTTCAGGAGAACAGTCCATGAATTTGTGATTCTAATAAGATGAGGTTCCAGTTTATAAGACCCTATCACTGCTGTGTAAGGGATGGAGACGATGAGACCAGTTAGAAAGGTAGTACATGATCCAGAGAGGATCAAGATCTGAACTAGAGCACTGACCATGAGGGTATCAAGGAGAGGACTGATTAAAAAGTAAATGGAATTTACTAGACCAATTATGTAGTAGGGAAGGGGCAACATGGAGGTGAGGGAAGAGGTGGAATAGTGTAGGATGATAATGTTAATGATAATATAGGCTAATATTTCAAGTACTTACAATGTACCATGCACAGGTCTAATAGCTCTATACTTAATCTCTTAATCCATTCAATAATTCTATGAGGTAAGTGCTCTTTTTTTTCATTTTCAAATGAAGCAAATGAAGCACAGAGAAGTTAAATAACTTGCTCAAATTTATACAGTTAATAAATGGTGATGCCAAAATTCAAGCTCAAGCTGTTTGAGTGCAGAGATTGAAGTTTGGATGACTGTGTGGATAGTGTTGCTATTTACTGTGATTGAAGAGTATAGGAGTGGGGGGCGGGGGGGCGGGTGGATGGCACGTATGTAGGGAAATTATTTGTTTTAGACACGTTGATATTGAGTGCAGTAGGCAATTGGTTAAATGGCTCTGGAGCTCCAGAGGAAGATTGGGACCAGAGCTGGAGACTTGAAGTTCATCAACATATACTTATATGTTCAGTAGGAGCTTCAGCACTGCCTTAGGTGGATAAAATACACAAAAGTAGGGGTGGGGAGTTAGAGGGAGGGGAATGGCAAAAAAAACAAGTGGAAGTAGAAGCTTGAAGACAAATTTGATCAATTTACAAGATTTTACAGGCAATGCCTTAGACTTGGAGAGTGCTTGTTTAATTCAAGCCCACTGGTACAGCTGGAGGTATCCTGCAGCACCAAATGCCTAGGGATTCTTAGGATTCTTGAATACGTTCCAGAATGAATTCCATAGTGTCTGTAGTAGGCTGAAAAAATCGGCCACCCAAAAGATATCCACATCCTAATCCTTCGAATCTGTGAATGTTACTTTATAGTGTAAAATAAATAAAAGAAAATAATGCTACTTTATATGGTAAAGTAAATAAAAATAAATTTAATTGCAGATACAATTTTTTTAATTTTTTAAAAAATTTTGGTATCATTAATCTACAATTACAGAAAGAACATCATGTTTACTAGGTTCCCCCCTTCACCAAGTCCCCCCCACATACCCCTTCACAGTCACTGTTCATTGCAGACACAATTTAAAGATCTTCAAATGGGAAGGTTATTCTGCACTTGTACAGATGAGCCCTAAATGCAATCACATGTAGTAGAGGGAGATGAAGGGAGATCTTATACACACAGAGAAAAAAGGTGAAGTGAGGATGGAACAGAGAGACATTTGAGGATGCTGGCTGGCCTTGATGATTTGAGTAGTGTGACTACAAGTTAAGAAATGCCAATAGCCAACAGAAGCTGGAAAGGAGAAGGTATGGGTTCTCCCTTAGGGCAGCTAGAGGCCTTGCCATCAGTCAGTGGGACTATAATTTCAGCCAAATAATACTGATTTCAGACTTCTGGCCTCCAGAACTGTGAGAAAATATCTTTTTGTTGTTTTAAGCCACCAAGTTTGGAGAAATTTGTTATAGCAGTCACAGGAAAGTAATTTAGTACTTCTCAAAGCTATTACCACTCAACATACTTGACCTAATAATTCCTAATTTTCAGTAGGTCTCAGGCCTCATTTGCCACATATTAAACATGGTACTCTTGTTATGCGCTTTGGTCAACTTTTCTTGGAACACATAGAATAGGCAGACCTTCATTTTCATGGGCAAGGAAAGGAGAAGGATAGGGGCCTTTACCAAAAAAGCACTATCCAAAATTAGCTTCTAAACCCCCAAAAATATTCATGAATGATTCCTGCAGATCTGGCAGCTCCTTTGACTGTACTGGATCTTGAGGGGTCATATAAGTCATCTACCTGTCTTTGCATGAACAGCTAAGATTCCAAAGATAAAAGGGTTTCTGGTTTCAGGCAGATACCTGGCCTACCGGTTGATATGGCTACTCAGGACAGAGTAACTGTCATTCAAGAACCATGGGCAGACTACATTTATAGGAGAGGCTGGCTGAAGAAAAAAAGCACATATAGAGAATGGATTGGAATTTGTTGCTGCAAAGTTAGAAAGAACTATTCACAGCAATGCTGTGAAGATGGCTAGCAACGGTTCTCTCTCAAGTGTTAGACTGGAAAATAACTCCTGTGAGAAGGATTGGGACAGTCCTGAACACATTTTAGCCAATCTAAGATCAGAAGCGCTTTACAATATTGCTTTCCCCTAGAACTCCAGAACCCCAAAGAATTATGCCAAAAAGTTAAGTATACCTTTGCAGATGTTGAAACCAACACAGCAGTGGAATGGTGGCAGAGAAAAATCCTGTAATTTTCATCTATGGAAGAGAATCTAGAGCTCACCCAGTCTAAGCTCCTCACTGTACAGATGTGAAAACTCAGCGGACTTTTCAATCCAATTTTACATAATTGTCTATTAGATTTTGTTCTGTAGCCTTATTTCGATGTCCATAGTGTTTTATTGGGTCAGGTGCTCATTCATAGCAATGAAAACACTTAAAAACGCATGTTCAATACACTGGGTGACCACAATCCCTCCCTCGGCCACCAGGGAGCGCAAACTAAAATTCCTCCTGCAGTCCATTAACATCCCTTGGGCCCGGGACAGAAAGAAGCCAGTCAGCAAACAGGAAACTAGCGGAACCTTAAGACTGAATGTTTGCAGCTGGTACGATTGCTTTGCGAAAAGAACACTTCCGGCAGGCCAGGCCGTACACCCAAATTGTGATTTGGTCGGCTCCCACCTCTCGCATTCCGATTTGTCACGCTAACTTTGGGAGGAGGGCTTGCGTTGGGTTCGTGCTCTCCTATTGGCTGCTGGCACGGCGGCGGTTTGGAGTGAGGGTAGCAGTTTAGCTGAAGGCGGTACGGAGTGCCGCGGCCCAGGGTTGTCTAGCCCAGTGTCTGGTTGGAATCCGGGGCCTGGCTAGGTGTGGATCCCCCGGGGAATGGATCGTGTGTGGAGTGCTTGGTGCGGGAAGTGCGTCAAAGAGAAAGGGTCGTCGCCGCTCTGGGCCCAGCGCATCGTGGTCGCCTGGCTCAGTAGGGCCGAATGGGATCAGGTGACGGTGTATCTGTTCTGTGATGACCATAAATTGCAGCGGTACGCGCTGAACCGCATCACCGTGTGGAGGAGTAGGTAAGGTGGCAGGTCCAGCTTCCCTGCCTGCGTGCTCGTGGCGCCTCACCCCTTCCGTCGTAGAATTCCTATAAGGCTTTATTTTCTAGTCTTCCCCTAAATTGCTTAATGGTTCCCATATGGGTGGTTTGAACGTTGCCCATCTCACAAGTGCCTGGGGAAAGTTGTAGCCAAGTTCTTGCACTAATCCCATTTGCGAAAAGAAAGCAAGTGTGCTTCAACAAACCTCTTACCAAATCTGCGAGCTTTAACCCTTACCTTCTCCCTTCTTAGGGAGGGTGCTGAGGGACCAGTGTGGCTGAGCCAGGACTTAAGGAGTAGGTTAGCACCCTACGTTGGAGTACCGATTCGAATTAGGGAAGGGGTGGGGGGACTTGCCTGCAAGACCATGTTTGAATGGGGCGTTTCAGTCCATTTGGTAAGATTGAGTTGGCAGCAGACAAGGGATAAAGGTCTAAAGGGTTAAGGGTCTTTTCCGGCTGAAAGAGTTGAGGGTTTCAGGGTGAAAGAAGGGGGGGTGGCCACTCTTAATTGGTTAAGTGGGTAGCAGTTAGATATCCTGCACATACTCTAGTTTCTCATGCTCTGTGTACTATTGGATCCTAGGACATTACTCTCCCTCTTCCCACCTTACGGATTTGTGTCTTTTTGTGCACTCTTGAGTGATTACATATTTGGAATAGCCTACAGCAACCTGGGCTCTGAGGTGGAGGGTGTACCAGTGTATGGGACCTTTATGATGGTGCTGGACTGTGGCCCTTTAGGTTAGGCAACGAACTCCCCCTGGCAGTGGCTTCTACTGCTGACCTCGTGCGATGTAAGCTCATGGATGTAACTGGTGGCTTGGGCACTGATGAACTTAGACTGCTCTATGGCATGGCGTTGGTAAGGTAAGACCTTAATGGGTAGGGGTGGGGGTAGTGTATGCTAAGCAAAGCTTGGCTTCAGGTGCTACCTGAAGCAAAAGGCCCTATGTGTCACCCTGTGATTGCATTACTTGACAGCTTTTGGTACCCTCCTGTCAACCCACATTGCTCCTTTTCTTTTTCTGAGAGATTTCTCTCTTCCATTTTTCTTTCCATCTCTTTCTTGGAATGTGGGGTAGGGCTGGGTTGAGACCAAGTGATCTCTGTGGGTCTCTTCCAGCTTTGACAATTTTTTTTCTTCCCCTGTAACTCTTTGATCCAGAGGAACTTTACTGAATCATTTGATATCCTTGACCATGATTTAATGTGGATTTTCCAACCCTGCGCACATCTATACTTAGCATTACCCTTTTCTCCTTCTCTCCACGTACACTGAAAGGTTGCTGAATTGTGGAAGTGGACACGTGGACCAGGAGTTCCTGACTTACAAAGTGACTCAGAGTGGTTCTAGCTGTCTCATGCACATCGGGGAAAAAGACTGCAACTGAGTTTTCTCATCTGTCAAAGTCTTTGTTCATTTCATGTTGCTCCCCTTGTCTGCCTTGAGGTCTTCCCTAGCTCTTCTTACTTTCTCTGTCATTAGGCTGTGCTTGCTATATCATTTGATGTAGTCCTTTTTTCCTAGCATTTATAACATTATTCTCAAACATAATATACTATATATAGCATATTGTATTATGTCATGATTATTTATCCTAGACTGACGTCTTCAAGGCTAGAACAGTGTCTTATTCATCTGTATAGCTTCAATACAGGCCAGACTCTCATTAAATATTGGACTGGATGGAATCTCCCTGTTCTGGTTGACACCAACCATAAGAACAGGACAGAACAGTCAGTGGAGAGGTTGTAGAAATGCAAGGTGTCAGTAACTTAGCAAGGTTTTTTGAAACCCCATTGATTTGAGTTCACCAGTTACTTGGGCTGTGCCACTTATTTCTTCCCCAACTTCAGGTTTGTGAATCTGATCTCGGAGAGGAAGACAAAGTTTGTCAAACTGCCCCTCAAGTTCTTGGCTCAGGAGGTGCGTATGATAAAGTGGCCTTGCTCAATTCTCTCTTCCTAGGAGGGGGTCACTGAATGGGGCATGGGGTGATGTGGGCATACAGTCTGACTAGCTCATCCGACTACTACCAGCCAAGCCCAGCAAGAGCCCTAGAGCCTCAGCCTCCGACTTAAAAGAAGCAGACTTGTTCCTTTGTTCATGGCTGCTATCTTCAGTGGGCTTTACCTGCCCTACTTGGTGGGAGTGACCCAGTGAAGCTGAGGCATCTGAATAAACCACTGGGTGTGGATAGGAAAGAGGTGGCAGTCATAGCACCTGCCCTCTGTGAGCTGACATTCTGGGGGGAGACAAGCACAGCCAAGCAGCATGAAAACCAGACATAACTTCCCTGAATTAGTATGTGAGTTGTGTAGATGCCCAGAGGGCTGGCAGGTTCTCAGCTATCAAAAGAATCTTTCTGGAGGAAGTGTGGGAGGGAGGGAGGGAGAAAGGGCAAAAGGGTACCCAGGGAGAGGCACTGGCACAGACAAGACAGAGGGAGGCTGGAAAAGGTGATTGTTAATTCTTATTTCACAGGAATCTCTCTGTTAGAGGAGGGTGGTTGGTGGTGGAGGTATGTGAAGTGTCTTTTCTGATTTTCAAGATCACCTTCACAGAGAAGAAAAATGATCAAGAGACCTGGTTTCTAATATTGACTCTGCTGCTAACACTGGAAACTCCTCCCAGGACCTTAGTTTTTTAATCTATAAAATGGGGGGAGGCCAGGCTAATTCATCTCTGGTCCCTTCTGGCTTTAATATTTTCTAATTTCTGCACTCACACTCTCCCTCACGATCAGGTGAACATTCCAGATTGGATTGTTGAACTCCGCCATGAGTTGACCCACAAGAAAATGCCCCATATAAATGACTGCCGCAGAGGTGAGTCTCCAGGGAGTATACCTATCACAGTTAAGCCCAGGGCCCCAGGCTGGATAACACTGGGCAGAGGGAGAGGGTCTCCACCTGGGATCAGAGCCAGGACTAGGGTGAGGCAAATAAGGTACTTGCCTTGGGCACAAACTTTAAGGGGGTGTCAAAAGTCAGTAATCAAGATAAATAACATTTCATTTTTGATGAACAAAAGTTTTAAATAAAAGACAAATAATTTAAATATATTTACTTAAATAAGTTTAAAACTACAAGTTTTTAAATAAAATAAATCAACATTACTGATTTCTCCTTTTGTGTTGGTCTTCAATATGGCTTGGCAGGGCACTGTTCTGATCCTGTTTTGGTATCTTGATTACCGAGTTTTTTTGGCATCCCCATAAATTTTGTGCCTGAGGAGGGGAATGGTGGGGCTGGTTGAGAGGTGTGAGCCTAGTGTCATAAACCCAGGGGTTCTTTGGACACCCCATCCCAACTAAGAACCCCTGATTCAACCTAGCCCCTTCATGTTGGGGAAACAGATCTAGAAAAGGGAAAAGACTTGGCCAAGGCCATATAACTAGCTAGTGGGGCTGGGTCCCTATTCTCCCACATGCCAGCCCTGTGCCATTTATGGCATCCCATCTCCAAGTCTGTTGTTAGTTTTTTCTCGGAAAGGTGCGGGTGAATAAGAGAAGGCAAAGAACAAGGTGGTAACCTGGAGCAAGAGGGGCTACTTCTGGACATTTGAGATTTGTTCCTTGGAACCAAGCCTCTTCCCTGGGGCCCTACTCTACTTGCAAGATTTGACTATTGGCTGTGGAGCTTCTTGCATGAGGCTGCTCCTATGGCACTGACTGCCTTCCTTCCCTCCTTTAGGCTGCTACTTTGTCCTGGATTGGCTCCAGAAGACTTATTGGTCCCGCCAACTGGAGAACAGCCTGAGAGAGACTTGGGAGTTGGAGGAGGACAGGGAAGAGACAGATGAAGAAGATCAAGACGAAGATAAGAACATTGTTGTTGATGACATCACAGAACAGAGATCAGAGCCTAAGGATGAGGGGAAAGATGCAGAGCAGGACGGCAGGGCTGATGGAGACAGCAAAGGCAACAAAGAGGTTGATTCGCATTGGGAAAAGTCTCTGAGACATAAAGAGCTATATGGTAGGTGTTCTTGCAGGGGCAGAGAGGGGCCCATGAGCCTGGAAGACTTGGGCTTAGGGTTGATGCTGGTTATTTCCCTGGCTCAGCATTTCCTCTGGGGTTGTGGTGAGTCTTAGCTTAAAAAAATTACATCACAAACTATCTTCCTTGAGCCCTGTGAAGCAGGAGAGGCAAGAATTCTAGTTCCCAATTTATAGCTCAGGAAATAAGGTGTGAGGGACTCAGAAGCCCACAAGGAACATGGGGCTGGGCTGGCTGTTCTATCTGTTTCCCTGTTCTGTTTTCAGAAAGAGCCCGAGAACTGCTGGTATCATATGAAGAGGAGCAGTTTAAGGTAAGAAAGTGCCCTGGACTTGGCATGTTCTCACCTGCCCCAGACATTTCTTGCCTCTTGCCAGCTACCTGAGAGAAGTCCTGAGAATGAATTTGAAAGAAAAGTGGCAAGGCTTGAGGGAACTTCTTGGAAAGAAAGAGGGGGGAACTAGGAAGGAGACAAGAGGAGCAGAGTCCAGTTGGCTGATCCTCCACGCTGATGGAAGGGAGCAGTTGATGGAAATTTGTGGGTAATCTGCCTCACTGGGTGGTAGGGAACAACTGGGCATAGATGGTTACTTAGCCCTGCAGTGCTGCAGCAGATCAGCAGATGGTACCCAGGAGCTATCCTAGATCAGGCTAGCTCAAGGGGTGCACTTTTTAGCAGGAAGGGAGGTAGCTTAGAAACCATTCAGATCAACTTTTCCTTTTCACAGATGAAGAAATTAAAACCATGCGTAAGTGAAGGGATGGGCCCAAGATCACATGCAGTTAGTGATGAACCAGAGTCCTCTGATCCCCTTTCTTCCATAAGTCATTGCTTTTCCTCACCCCGTGGCCCAAGAGGCTCTGGCCCAACTCCAACTAGATCCCACCACTGGATATCTCAGTTTTGGGATATCTGGTGACTGGGAGCCATGGGGAATTTGGCAGGGGAGGGAGGAGGAAAAGAAGGAAGAAGAGAAAGTCTGGCATTTGAGGCTCAGGACATTTTTTGTTGCAGGGCCAGTAGGGGAATTGAGAGCCTATCCCTGCACACCATGCCCTGTGTCCTGAAGGGAGGTGCTGAGAGGTCATGTGGGAAGGGATCCTGGAGGGGTGGGGAAGTGTTGCCTGGCTGAATCAGCCTTCTGATGGGACCCTCTTTGCTGGCAGGTGCTGGAAAAATTTAGGCATTTACCTCAGGCCATTAAGGCGTGGAATAACCTGTCCCCACCTGTAGAATGCATCCTGGCAGAGCTCAAGGGCATTACATGGGAGAACAGGTGTGTAACTAGGTAATCGGGCTGTCTACTCTCTAGGGTAGAGCGCAGCAGCCTCACTAAAATCGGTTTCCATATCCAAGCTTGCCAACCTCTGCTGTAGGAAATCCCAGGGATAATCCTGTTCCCCCAAGGGGTGACCCTGCATTCTACATGACCCTCTTCCCCCAGCCCTGCCAATACATAGGGGTTGCCTATTGTGCATCACTAAAATGGCCAGAGGCAGGAATATCTACTGTTATCCATCCTGTGACCAGCTTTGTTCTTCTCTGTCCAGTGATGTGGAGCTCTTGGCAACCAGGGAAAGCCCTCCATTCTTACCACCTTGTTGTCTATTCCTTGTCCAGGTTGGAGATAAAATATGTGTGGTGGGTACTGCTGCTCTGGTCTTTTGAACTGCTTTTGGAGTGTCAGCATCCCCTGAATAGTCATGGTTGGGGGAAAAGGAGGGGCCTTCCCAGAGCCTGGCTCCTTGAAATATTTAATTCTGGAGCCTGGCTCCTTGAAAGTCTGAGTCCTTCCCCCACTCAGTATGGCCATGAGCCTTCTTTTTCCCCAAAATAGTGCTCAGTTCAGTCCAGAGCAGACACACAGTATCTTTCCATTCCTTTCTACCCTCGCTCTTAGGTGCTTACCACCTATATTAGCTGGAAAGGGTTTTGGGGAACCTTCCACTACAAACCTGTGGAGGCAGTGCTAGATCTCAGCTAGGGAAAGGTTGAAAGGAATCTGGGATGGAGCAGAATGTGTGAGAAGGTGGTGTAAGTACCAGAGTGGGCCTGGGTGGGACCTTGCAGTGCAGATTGGGATTGTCCCTGGAGTCTTCTTTCATTTCCAGTATACTGCCAGTGGCAAAGGTATTTTATCAATGTCTTGGCTGTACCCGTCAGCAATGTGGGAGGGGGGGTAGATTAAGCAGTGGAGAAAACTATCCTGTATCTCTGTATAGTAGTGTCTGACCAGTTATGCTGAGCAGGCAACTGGCTGGCTGCTTTAAGTACTTTTCCTGGTTATTGATCTGAGGAGATGGGAGATGAATGGTAGGTCAACTCTTGCCTCCTCAAACCTGGAAGAAGGGATCTGAGCATGATAACCCTCCAGGCACTGAGACACCTTGGGAGCTCTTGTTTTACCTCTAGGCCTGATCAGCTAGAAGAGCCTCTCTTAGGGGAACTACTAGCTCTGGAGGACACAGCTGGGGATGTTGCTTGTTTCAGTTTGAGCTACATGGGGATGAGAGATTAGCCTATAGACTGTGCTCTCAAACTTTGTAACTTAGTTCTGGGTTTTGGGGGACCCTAAGCATAAGGATCCTATTTAGTCTGGCAGTTGAGTCCCCAAAGTTTCTGCTTCTAGGATCTGAAAGGGGGAAGCTAGGGAGAAGGGGAGGGGTAGGAGACCAGAAGACTGTCAAGAGAAAAAGGCTGAGCAGGAACTAAAGTCTAAAAGCCCTTGACCCTGAGACCCCATGCATTTAACTTCTCTGGGGGCTTGGGACTTTGTTCCATCTTTGCTTTCAGGTTTGTTCAGTTGCTGCCGCCCTCATTATAGGCCTTACATCAGCATATGCTTGGTAAATGCTTATTCGGAACCCAGGGTCCCAGTCTCTGGCACAAGCCCTCCTCCAGGAGGATGAGGTCTGGGATTCATCTGTCAGGTGCCTTCCTTCCCCCCAACGCTGCTTTAGCCACTTGAGCCAGAGACATTAAGCTGCCCTGGGAATGGGTAGGAGAGTAGGAGAGGGTCTTCTGCCTGCTTCAGTTTGCTCAATTAAGTGTCCTCTTGCTCCAGGGAGGCTGTGCTGGATGCTTTTCTGGATGACGGCTTTCTTATCCCCACGTTTGAGCAGTTGGCAGCTTTGCAGATAGACTATGAAGGTAGGGTCCTGGGGGTTTGCTGTAGCCTTATTGTGTTGCTGGGTGAAAACACTAGGGGTGGGCTTGTTGGTCCTGGGCTGGGGGTCAGGAGCTGTTTGCTGCCACTCTGTAGTGTCTGGAAGCCCCTCTTGGCTGAGTAGAACAAGTAGCCCCACTGATAAGGACTTACTGGGCTGTGCTTAGGTGGCCTGGAATTGGGTGGGATGGGACAGGGTTGGGGGGGGAGTCTTAATGCCATTCTTGTGCTATGTTAATTGTAATTTGGGCACTAACTAGGGAGCTAGAACAGCAGAACTGGAAGGGCCTTGTGAGGTCATCTAGTCCAACATCCTCATGTTACAGATGGGCAGACTGAGGTCCAAAGAGGGGAAGGTACTGATCCAAAGTCACACAGTGAGTTGTTGATAAAGCTGAAGATAGAACCAGAGCTCTTTTTCATTTATAATCTGTTTCAAGTCAGTATCAGTAGAGATACTAACTGGTTTCTCTCCCCACTGTTCTGCTCTCCTCTTTCTTACTGTTCTGCGGTGACAACTCTGTTGGTGGTGGTGGGGCCCCCCTCTCCTCCCCATTGTCTCTCTTCCCCTTCCTCCCACCTCCCTCCTTCTCTCTCCCCTCCCCTACTCGCTTCCTCTGCTACTCTTCTCTCCCTTTCCCTCCCTGTCTCCTGTGGGCCCTCACCTCCCCTTTCCCTGTCAACACGTGTCCTCACAAACCAGAAAACCTGGACTTGAATGACATCCTGGTGCCAAAGCCGTTCTCTCAATTCTGGCAGCCCCTGCTCAGGGGCCTGCATTCCCAGACCTTCACGCAGGCCCTGCTGGAGAGGATGCTCTCCGAGCTGCCAGCTTTGGGGGACAGCGGGATCCGACCCACCTACATCCTCAGATGGACCATTGAACTGATCGTGGCTAACACCAAGACTGGTGAGGGAGACTAGCCCTAGTCCCAGGGCCTAACACAGCCCAGGCAGGAGCATCTGCTGCTGTCCTCAGCTCTCAGCTGAATAACACCAGGAGAACACATCCCTTGTTAAAAGTTTAGGTTTGCCCAAAAGCAGCAGCAGTTGACAAATCTCCCTCCATCCTTTTCTTCTCAGAGCCAACTAAATGGGTGAGGCAAAGGGCCCTGAATGCTTGAGCAGTTGGGAGTTATAGAATGGGGAGTTTGGGGAGATGGGGAGGGACAGAGCCAAGCTTTTCAAGGTGCAAGGTTGGATGGGGGAACTTACTGATTCCTTCTCCTCAGGCCCTCTCTTCTCTCTCAGTAAGCAATGCCCGCCGATTTTCTGCAAACCAGTGGGAAGCAAGAAGGAGCTGGAGGCTATTCAACTGCTCTGCCTCCCTTGACTGGCCTCGGGTGATTGAGTCCTGCGTGGGCTCACCTTGCTGGGCCAGCCCTCAACTGCTTCAGCTGTAAGTCTCTTGAATTCCATCTGGTGGTAAGAGGGTGAGGCTCTGCAGGCCTCGGGGCCACACAGCCCTAGAATGGCAGATTTGGAAAGGCTCTTGCAAGGACACCTAGTCCTGCCCCCCTCCTACTAATAGATGGGAGAGCTGAATCCCAGAGAGGGAACGGATAGGGCATTCTTGTTAAGATCACACAGCTTAAGACCTGGCTAAACTGAGTCCATTATGAGAATGAATGAGACAATCCCCATAGAGTGCTTAGCACAGTGGCCTATACAGCGTAAGTGCACAATAAATGGTAGTTGCTGTTGATTATTTAACCCAGTCTTCTGACTCTAAGCCCAGTGCTGTCTCCTCTATTATCTTCCCAAAGTATACTTCTCATAGGTGCTCAACAATCTTCAGTGGCTCCCTGTTGCCTTTCTGAAGTCTAGGCTTCTTAGCCTGAGTTTCAGATATCTTTCTGATTCTGCCCCAACCTAGCATGGGTGAAATGGGGGAGGAAAAGGGACTTGAGGTGAGTGACAAGGGTTTAGAACAGTCAGTAAACGGGAGAGAAAGTGGGCAGAAAACAAGTAAAAGTTCAGACAAGCAGAAGTGAGGTCTGGACCAAGATTAAAAATCATACCTCTACAGTGGCAGCAGTCCACAGGACTACATGGTTTTCTCTAGCAGAGCTCAGCTACCTGAGCTGAGCAGTGGGGAAAGTGCAGTGAAGATCAATCCCAGCTCAGGGGTTTGCAAGTTAAATACACCAAAGGATGGGCAGAGCTGAGTGTGTTGATGACGGGTAGCTGAAGTGACCAACCCACAGACAGGATTGAAGAAAAGCAACATTCTGGGAGATAGGAAATGGAGAGATGGGAGTATGGATATAGGCAAAAAGCAGATGTCATAGGATGTGAGGGTGAGAACTGTAAAGATAATAAGGGGTGGTCACTGAATGGGATGCTGGGATGACAGTTTTCAAAGGTGAAACAGCTCTGAGTAATGAAAATGTATTGCTGGGTATATTGGAGAATGAAAGTCACTGGAGTTGAGGAGCTGAAAAGTGTCAGATGGGTTACTCAAATGAAACAGATATTGCTCCAGAAAGCAGTAAGAGAATCAGGTGCTAAAGGCTTCTGTGAGTTATGAGGGAAGTGGCTTGGGGTCAGGAAATGACAAAGAAGAAAAGGAAAGGGAGAGAGCCACAGGTATTTACAGGAACCAGTGCGATACTCAGTTTCACCATGGTACCCAGGGTGGATTGGGTAAAGGGGAATCAACATTCCTATCTCCCAGAATGTTGCTTTTCTTCAATCCTGTCTGTGCATTGATCACTTCAGCCACCCGTCATCAACACACTCAGCTCTGCCCATCCTTTGGTGTATCTAACTTGCAAACCCCTGAGCTGGGATTGATCTTCACTGCACTTCCCCCACTGCTCAGCCCAGGTAGCTGAGCTCTGCTGGAGAAAACCACGTAGTCCTGTGGACTGCTGCCACTGTAGAGGTATGATTTTTAATCTTGGTCCAGACCTCACTTCTGCTTATCTGAACTTTTACTTTTTTTCTGCCCACTTTCTCTCCCATTTACTGACTGTTCTAAACCCTTGTCACTCACCTCAAGTCCCTCTTCCTCCCCCATTTCACCCTAGCTTCCTTATGGACATGGAGGCATCCAGCAGGGCCTCCTTGACCAGAGGTCCAGCCTTCATGAACTGATCTGCGGCTATACTCAACCTTCTCACCAGCCTCAGGATGAGGTGGCCTTGCCCTGCTTCAAATCCTGCTCCTCCACCTGTGTTCTGGAGCCACCTCTGCCAGCATCGCTGGGGCCTCACCCTAGCCTCTCCCTTACTCTACTGGCTCTTGCTCTTCAACCTATGAACACGCCTGAGTTTTTCTCATCTTAAAATAACAATAACAACACACACAAAATCTACTTTGACCCTGTGGTCCTTCTGTTGGGATTATCACGAGCTTATTACTCCTTTTCCCATCAAAACATTTGAAAAGAGTAGTCTGCACTCAACATATCTCAATTTCCTCACTACCTTCTTACTCCTCAACCTGCTATAATTTAGCATTCAGCCCCAGAGCTGCTTTGAACTAATTACCAAATCCAGTGGGCCCTTGTTCATTGCTCTCTGCTGCATTACTGCTTTTTACCACTCTCTCTTTGAAATGCCTATGCTTTTTTTTTTAACTAGTTCCTATAAAGTGCTGAGGGCGAAGTAACTTTATCTAGACCAGGCCTTTTCCCCAAGATTCAGCCTACATTTGACTGCATGTCATATCTCTCTGCTTGGATGGCCCACAGGTACCTTACTGTGACCAAAAGAGAATTGGTCATCTTACTTCCCACTCCTACCACAAAGTAATCTTCCTTCTCTGCTCCCTATCTCACTTGGTGGCAGCACCATCTACCCTGTTACGTTCACTCTTGAGTATTGCCCAAATCTGAGATTTTGTGTTGCCATGTCTACTTCCTGGAGTGTTTCCTTCCCTCTATCACACTGAGCTTTTCAAGGGGAAGGGTTCTTCATTAACCATCTGTGCCCCAGCACACCACACAAATCTGGGCCCCAAACAGGCCTCAGTAAACACTGTAGAACTAAACTATGTTCTGCTATCTCATTGCCAGCAATGCTGTCTTTGGTGGGGGCTGACTCCATGTCTGGGGAATGAATGAAGTGAGAGTTTTGGATGCCAAGATCCTCTTTGTCCCCTGATCCCCTTATGGAGTCAGAAGGTCTTTCCTGAATCTTTATGGCATTTGGGGCACAGTAGTAACTTATAAGAGAAAAAAGTAGCCTTGTAGACAAAGTCAGCAAGAGCAGCATCTCAGGAGATGGGACTGAACCAGCCAAATCTCCAGATGTGTGTGCCGTAGTCTGGAAATGATATGTATGGGTGGGAAACTGGGAAGAGAACCAAAAAGGCCTAGAGGGGTCAGAAAATCATCATAGATGAATCATTTGAGCAATTGGAGCAGGAGAAGGAATAAAGGAAATGTCAAAGTCCAGAAGGAATGTGGCATGTGTATGTAATGGGGGAGGGAGTGAAAAGAGCAGCATGGAAAGGTTTGGTTAGGTGGCCTTCAAGGTACTTTCCAATCCTAAGTGCCTGCAGAATGGAAGCTGCTGGTCTTGGAGAAGTCTGGACCACAGAGATCTTCTCCCAACCCAAGCATACCAGAGGGATGCGACACATGCCAGCAGTAACAGCGGCTCACTTGGGTACGATTCCTTATGCACAGATCCTGCCTTTCCAAGATAATCAGTGACTCTAGTCCCAATCGCCCCATTACACAGATTAGGAAACAGGATTTCCCCTGGTATTATGCTGCAAGTCAGAGCTGGACCAGAATCCAGATACCCTATCCTTACTCCTGTGTTCTTTCTCCAATGTCCCATTAGGTGCATTATTGGAAGAAGCATGTGTTACTAGACACATCCAAAAGTAAAAGTTGGTTTTTGTTTTCCCCAGAGGAAAAATAAAAGGTGCCAATGAAAAGTCTCAGGCATGCTGCTATGTTTTTTGTAGAAGTTATTTTCTTTCTGTTTGACAAAGCTATCTTTTAGAGGTGTAGGTATTATACCCCTATTTCACAGATAAGAAAAGCATTGAGGCGCTGAGGAATAAAATGATGCAAATGTCACCACATAGTTTGGTGATGAGGGGACAGGGATTTGGGCCCAGGACTTGTGAGACCAAAGTCCACCTCCTTCCCACCAACCTGACTTGTGACTTTCTTATTCCCAAGCTGTGTCCAGGCAAATCTGAGGGAGTTTGCATTTTAGGTTTCGTATCACCCCAATGCTGGTCAGACTAGACAGTTTTGAGATAGCTGGTGGGTAATAATACATAGCATTGACATGGCATCTTACCAATATCAGGTGCCTGGGAATATTAATTGTACTAATTGACCACAGTGAAAGGGAAGAGAGTTTCTCTGTGGCTTTTCCTCTAATGAGGCTGGAAGTTTTCAGGAGCTTCCCTCAGCCAGCCAATATCAATTCAGTTAAAGCCAGTGTTCTCTTGGAATATGAAATTAGCCATGCATAGAGGGTCTCCCAGTAGAGTCACTAGCCCTTAGCAACCAGTGGCCAGTGACCAGAGACTACGTACATGTGGTCAGTCTGCCTGTGGAGCCCAGAGAGAAAACAGCCCACTGAGCATGTGCCCCTCCACGAACGGCCCACAGTTCAAACTGGATACACCTAGAAGGAAGCTGTCCTCCTGTCCACCCCACCCATGCCTCCAGCAGTGACTAGGTGCCTCGTTCTCTGAGGCTCTGCAAGGGGTGCTCACCCTTTTCCTCCCCAGGGGCTCTCCTTCCCAATGGTTCTGTATCTGTTGGTGGTTTGGCTGTTGGTGCCATCCTTTGTGTGCACGATGTTACCATCTTTAATTCTCGTCTGCCCGACTCCTGCCATTTGGTCACCAAGCCCTGCTCTCTGTCTGTCTGTCCTTTGCAGCTTCTCTCCCTGCCATCTCCACTGCCAGCATCCTAGGTCAGCTTTTACCAACTGTCCCTGGTCTCCCTGCCTCCAGGCTGCCCCATCCAGACCATCCTCCACACGGGCCCCATGGTTATCTTCAGAAACACAGCCATCACCAGTGCTCAGAGTCATCAGGTGACCCCTTCTGCCCAACACACACACTTAACCTTTGAGGCCTTCTCCCCCTCCCACAGCTCCTCAGCACAGCCCTTCCCCTCAAGCCAGGTTACTCTCACCACATGCACACAGCATTGTGTACTCGCTCTTGTCTGCACGAGGCCCTCCCTTGATCTCTGCTGTCCTCCTTGTGCTCTCTGCCTCCCCCCAGCTTCTGTAATGACCGAGGTCCACAGTGCTCATCTGGCCTTTCTCCCACATTCTGCTTTGTCTTGTCAACTGCTGCTTTTTTTTTTTTCTTTTCCTCCATTCCAGGCTGGGCCTTAGTTGCTCCCACAAATGGAATCACATTTGTGTTCTATGCAGAATTCCAGCATACTTCCAGACATGTCTTTGGAGCTCAGGACAGATTACTCAGCTAGGTAAAGGAAGAGAGGGGTCTGCTATTCTCATATCCAGCCCTGCAGGCCTATTGGCTAGTTTATGTATTTATATAGCATTTCAGTACTGACTAATAGCTATCATTTATTGCATGTCCACTGTGCCAGGCATTCTTTGTGAGCTATCTTATTTATCCTCCCAACAACCCTGTAAGTCGGGCTGTTACTGTCCTCATTTTACCGAGATTGGAAGTGATCCACAGAGATGAATCATAGTTTGTTCAGGGTACATGGTCCTGTTTCTGTGTTGTGACTGCTCTACTGCACTGCCTTTCAAAGGCAGGTATGGAAGCTCAGAGACCAGAAGTTCAAACTGGAGTGTTGGGGTGCGAGGTAACTTGAGATTTTGAATCCTTCGTATCCTATCCCTCCCTTTGCTCAGCATCTTCAAAGCCATGGGGCAGGTCCTACCAGATGAGGAGCAGAAGAAGCTGCTGCACATATGTTCCATTTATACCCAGAGTGGAGAAAACAGCCTGGTACAGGAGGAGGTCTCAGAGGCCTCTCCCATTGGGAAGTCTCCGTACACACTGAACAGCCTGTATTGGAACCTCAAACCAGTGGGTACCAGCTCTGGGCCTGAAGAAGCCCAGCAGCAGGAGAAGCAGGTCAGCCTCAATGATGTCAAAGAAGATGAAGAGAAAGGGATCTCACAAGACCATGTGGAGGAGGAGGAAGAGGAAAATGGTGACGCAGAGAAGTGGGAGGAGAATGATGATGAAGATGATGATGAGGAGGAGGAGGATGAAGATGAGGAGGACGATGAAGACAGAATGGAGGTGGGGCCTTTCTCTACAGGGGAGGAGTCCCTCACTGCTGAGAATGCTAGGTTCCTGGCCCAGAAAATAGGAGCTTTGCAGGGCTCTGCATGGCAAGTAAGCTCGGGTAAGGAGCCTGATACCCACCTTCTCACCATACCAGTCGTCCCTCTGTGGCTGGCTCTTGAGACTTCCCTATACACTAGAGAAGAGACGGAAGGTAGCAGGAGGTAGCCAGTGCGAGGCAAGCTTGGGAGGCAGCCTGGTGTGTAGATGACAGTTGGCTTCCCTTCTTCAGGTTGGAGTGTGTAAGTACCAGGGCCCGTGGAACTGTTAATGCAGCCAACTGCTGCTTGTAAGCACATTCAGAAGGGATGAATTGGGTGTGGGTACTAAGTAGCAAAACAGAATAGAAAGCAAGAGGATAGGGGGTGGATATATGTGTGATTCTGCATGTGTTTTTTGCATACAGTGATCCAGGAGCAGGAAGACAATGAAGAGTGCTTTCTATGTATATGTGAATGCGCATGTATACATTCGGACTGGGTGGTGATACGGCATGATTTTGCTGTGTGTATGAGAGGGAACCCAGGGGTATTAAGTCAGAGGAAGTAGAAATGAGATCAGAGTGACAATAAGGAGTGGTGTGGTTTTTAGGTGAGCATATAAGTTAGACAAAACTGCAAGGGGGCAGAGAGGGTTGGGTGGTAATAAGGTGGGGGAAGATGAATCTGCTCCTCCTGAGGGTGGTCTTTTGAGTGCCTTCATTTAAGTTAGGGAGTGGGAACCTTAAGACAGTAAGACCGTGAAGGATGAACCATCTGGTTGCTGTGTGTTGTGTGGTTGTGTGAATATGGGTACACACTGGAGGCCAGGGCAGATAGACATGGGGCCACAGCCTGTGTGATGGAGCCTGAGGGAGGGAGGGAAAACAGCTGGTACTGGGTGTGTTGTTGGGTGGGTGTGGTCAGGAACAATAAAGGGTGGGGGCAATGAGGGAAAGGTGGAGACTTTGTCCTTGTTTGGACATGTGTGTGGAGGGGCTGGGGCATAAAGACCCCACAGGTTAAGGATGGGGGAACATGTTTACATCTGAATGTGTGTGTGCCTGCATGTGCTAGACAATCCAAGGCACAATAACAGAACTCTCTTAGGACAAGGGCAGCTGTGTTTTGGGGTTGTAAATAACAAAAGGGACAAGCATTGACACAGGCATAACTATATTTGTTAGAAAGAGTAGGGGCTGTGAAAGAAGTAATTGAAGTGGGCTGTCATGTATATTTTTGGAAGAGTTAGCAGGGTCACTGAGACCCATGGGTACCAGGAGGGAAAGAAGCAGAAGCAATGAGAGATGGGGATATATGGAAAGGTGTAAGAATAGGCAGTAAGGCAGCCATTCAGAGATGGCCTGTGTATGTCTGTGCTGTCACTGAGGGGCCATGTACAAGGGTATCAGGCCAGAGAGGCAAGGACAGTGATGGAGACAGGGTTGGGCATATTCTAAATGGGGAGGGAGAATGGTCAAGTTAGTCAGTGACAGACATGAGGGGAGTGGTCCCTGTGTATAAAGGTGTCTTTGTATGCATAGGGCAATGCAGGGCATTAAGAAAGGCACAACTTCTTTCCTGTAAAACAGCCAGGGATAGGGGGGATGGGCAGGCAGAGGAACAGCTTTTCCTGGGGGGTTCTGTGGGTAACATAAAAAGCTAGTCCAGGGTTGGCACTTTGCAGAATGCCAGGGGCATTATGACAAGGAGAATTCCTTGGATACCAGGGAATTTCAGGAGGTCAGAAATTGTATCTCCTTGGAGGAACTCACCAGTGAAGGCTTCACTTAAAAGCATTGGCTATACTGGTATAAGGATTGGGATGGAGTGTTTAAGTGATAGAATTAGAGGGGTTGGGGAGTCCCTGACACAGTCCATTCTAAAATGGAGTATCTGGGTGGGCTGTCAGGGAAGGATTGTGAACATGAAAAGGCTAAGGCATTGAAATCTTTCTCTCCTCCTTTCCATTGCTTCTTCTGTGTGTGCATACACATATATGGGGATGCAGGGTATTAAGATGTCTGGGTTATGTGCCTATGAATGAGAGATGCGGGAGGCAGGGAGTGAAACTGAGAAACTGAGTGGAGTGCCTATGTGCTTAATATGTGTATACTTAAGCAGTGGTGGCGGGTGGGATACACAGTTAAGACAACCCTTCCCTGATGAGGGGATGTTTTTTGTGTGAGCATCTCAACCTTGCAGGGGCAATAAGACCTTGCAGGGGGCAGGGGGAGCATAATACCACCGACAGAGTGTCCACCCTGAGGTGGTGTGTGGGTGTGTGTATATATTTCCCAAGGTAAGTCCACTAAGAGAAGATGGGACATTCAGACATGTCGGGGGGTTTGTGTGTGGATGTGTAGGAAGTCTAAGTCATTTAGATACTCTGAGGTATCTTTGGCTTTGGAGAGGAGGTGCAGTGGGAATTCTGGGGCATCCAGACTCTCCAGGATATGTGTGCATGTATAAATAGTGGTGAAGTTGAGAAGTTGAGGCAGTGACTACAACCAGGTCTGAAGGTGTTGTCTATGTGGAGACATGTCTGGGGATGTGGGAGAAGAACAGAGAGGAACAATAATGTCTCTAGTTGTGTGCATGGTATGTGGGGTGTGTGGGGTGAGGGGTGGGTTGTGTGTGTGTGTGTGTGTGTGTGAACAGAGGGGAAGAAGGGCTGTAAAGAGTGTATAGGAGAGCATGGAAGAGGTAGGGAGTGCAAAGGTTAAATGATGCAGAAAGGAATAAGGCTGGAGAAACACAGAAGGCCCATGCTGAGTAGGTTAATTGAGGTGGATAGATGGACCTGTGTACCCACTCTTGCCTCCTCCCTTTGCTCCACAGAAGATGTACGATGGGACGCCTTCCCCTTAGGCCAAGTACCAGGTCAGACTGAGGACCCAGCAGAGCTTATGCTGGAGAATTACGACACCATGTATCTTTTGGACCAGCCTGTGCTAGAGCAGCGGCTGGAACCCCCAACATCCAAAACTGGGTGAGTGCCCATGGCAGCAGGATTTCTCACCCCTTTCTTTGCCTCCTGCAGGAGGGAGGGAGGGAGAGAGACACACAAACTAGAGTGGGTTGGGAGGTAGCTGTCCCCAGTCATGGCTTGAATTAAATAAAAGTTCTAGTCTCTGGCTGGGCCCTTGTCAGGACTCTCAGCCCCTAATGAGGGGAGCCAGTGAGGCAGCCATGCAGAACTGACTTGGCACCCCTCTCAGTTTGCATCCAGTTTGTGCATGAGTGTGCGTGTGTGCACGCACATTTTGGGGGAAGTCCATAGCTTTCAAAGGATTCTCATAAGAGTCCTGCACTCCCAAAAGGTCAAGAATGGATGCTCTAATCCAACTTCCTTATATTCCTGAGAAAACTGAGGCCCAGAAAGGGGAAGGGATTTGTCCAAAGGTGCACAGAGTAATCAGTAGGCCTCCCTGCACTGTCCAGGCATCTTGGTAGCAAGGCCTGCACAGGGCTCCATGCTCTCCCTCGAAACTCGCCTCTGGATCACAGGCGTGGGAGCCCTTGGGTCACCAGGGAGCCAGGAACCAAGCAGCCCTTGCTAAGGGATGCTGCTGGTAACACAAAGGAGCCCGTTCAGAGGGCCTGTACATTTCAGAAGGCGGGGCCATTGTGATCGGGAGAATCCTGTTAGTACCAGAGACAAACCTCTGTGGGCCCCTGAGAAACTGAGAGTCTATCCCTATGCTGCCTGCCCATTCCCTGGGAGATGAACTCCTCTTCCTCTGGACATTCAGGAAGAGGGCTATAGAACCCAGGGGCCCCAGCAGCAGGCCAGGCCCAAGGCAGTGCCGTGGACTTTCTGTCCTAGGGCAAGGGGCATCAGGCATCTTGGAAAGAAGAGGAGGCAGCTGGGGAAACAGGTGGTCTATAGTTGGGAGTGGGAGGTCTATAGACATGTCTGAGATGTCTCCTCTCCCCTTGGGTAAGGTTGGCTTGATGAGTACCAGGGTATCAAGTGTGCAGGTGGAGCTGTGAAATACAGAAGAAAGCTTCCACGTGCCGTGTAGTGGAGAGGGGTCCTCTGCTGGAGTGGGCATGCCCACTCCTGCTTCTTTTCTAACCTCCATCTTTGACCTGGCTCTGTGGATTGAGCACATCCCTTTTCATCTCTGGGCCTCAGTTCCCTTGTCTATAAGATGGTGGGTGTTGGGAGGGGATGGGACTAGATCATTTCTAAGGGTTTTTTCAGCTGCAGTAGTGTAACCGTGGATCTGCCTGAGGGGAAGGATGATGGCTTTGCTCTCAGCTGTCACCCTCATCTACCTGGAAGGACCTTTGACCTAAAGGAATCAGAGGAAGCAAGAGTGTTCTGAGCAGGGCCAGGGAGGGGGAGGACAGTTACCTCCCTAGAGCAATCTTGCAATCCTGGGATGGGAGCTGGGCCTATCCCTACAGCCCAAGCCTGGCTTTGGGCCCATTAACCAGCTGTTGGGGGTGGGAGGGATCCAGCCCATGGTGCTTTGGGCCCCCAAGTACTAGAACCTTGGAAGAAGGCCTGTTAAGGCAGCCACTTCCAATATTTTCCTGGGGGTGTGGTGGTACAGGTCCCCTTCTCCTACTTCATCCCAAATAGCTCACTTTAATTTCGTGTATATACTGGGGCTCTGCATACAGCTTCACTTGAAAAGTTCTACTCCTTTCCTCCCCCTCCCCCTCTCAACTAGGAGAGGGCAGAGCCAACCCTGAAGTTGTTTCTCAGATTTGCTCTAGCTGCTTCTTTGTAAAGTGAGGAAGGAGGGTGGGTTCTTCCCAAAGGCATACACATCAAGCACCCTTAGCCCTTCCAGAGCCTAAAGCTGCCTCCTTTCCTGACTAACCACCCCCCCACTCTCTCCATAGCACCCTGGGTCTGAGCTGTGGTGTCAGGAGTGGCAGCTGCAATGACAGCAGCAATGGCAGCAGCAACTTGGAGGGCCTTCTCTGGAGCCAGGGACAGCTGCATGGGCTCAAAATGGGCCTGCAGCTCTTCTGATGCCTGCCCTAGTACAAGTGTTGATCCAGCCATGGTATGGAAGAGCCCCCCTGACCCCCACCCCCACCTCCACAGTGTTCCTGATGCTCCATGAAACAACCTGGGAGATGGCCCACGTCAGCTCAGTTTTCCACCACAGTGGAATTTTGAATATGTTTTGGGATTTTTTTCTTTTGTTTTGAAAAACAATAAACAGGCAACTGTTGTTTAAGTATTTGTGAAATGAGGGGCTGTGTACTGGAGCAGATCAGTGTAATTCTTCCTTTATTCTGGGTGCTCCAGAGAAGGCATAGTCATAACAGGGCTTCCAGCAGGATCTGGGTCCTGAGGTCCTTAGGGCCTACTGCCCCTGATTGTTTCTACCCACCAGGCCCTACTCATACATTCTTCCTGTGTCTCAAATCATTTTCATTCCCTTCAGCTGTGGTATGGAGCCAGCTTACTTGGAAGCATTAGGCCCCCAGAAAAGAGGCATTGCTGATCATAGAGCCCAGCCAACATAAGGGGAATCTGCTCAGAACCTCTTGACTGCAGGAATACCCAGGGCCTTACTGATGCCACCCAGCAGGCTCTGGCTTATTTCCCTACCTGCCTTCACTGGGCATCAAACAACAGTTGAAAGCTAAACAGAAACCTTTCTTTGTCACTTTTCTACTCCTTTGGCCTTGAAAAGTTAAGAGTGGGCTTCTCTGTGTTGGACAATGGCGCCAAAGAAATGTCTTAGGGGCTGATTCATAGTTCCTCTGTGGTCACCCAGTTCCCTCAGACACTCAGAGTGCCTAGCCCTGAGCTGCCAGGAGACCATGTGGAGCAGACCAGTGTACAGTATGCTATGTTCTCAGATGTCTGAGCCCTCCACCTGGTAAGGGGAGATAGTCATCACTTATCACCTGATGCCTCCGCTAAGTACCTTAAGGGAGCTTTGGTGTTCTTTGTTTTTCTCAGGGTGGTGGTTCCTGGTGGCAGTTGACTGAGGTCAAGTGTGGCTACAGAACTTCCGATCCCCACTCTGGGGAGAGTAATAGCTGGGCAAGAAAGTGGGTATCTGTTGAGCCAAGTTTTGGCCCAGAAAAGGGGCATGGGATAGTACCAGGCAGCATTTTAGTCAAGAACTTGGCCCCCAAGGTAGCTGAGCTCAATAATGTTGAAAGAAGGGAAGGAGAACATTTATGCTGTGAAAATGCCAAGGAGAAATATAGTGCAAATGTGTTGCCAGCCCAGTCAAGAAAGGGTTTTATCTTGAGGTAGGACCCCAAGGGAGTCTGCAACACCTCTGAAAGATACCCTGAATATCTTTGTGGGTATGTGTATACAGTTTTTCTAGAGCTGGTTCTCAGGCCTAATCAGGTTATGAAAGGGGTCCATGAGTCCAACGGGCCAACAGGGTTAAGATTTCTTGTTGTGTGTGGATCCAAGCATTAGGTATAGGCAGAGCAATCTCCTGCACTGATTAATGCAAAATCAGTTTCCCTCCATCTCTTCTCTCTCCTGCCACAATGGCAAATGCTAAGTCTTTCAGCCTCCTAAGTCATCAGAGATGAAGGAGCCTTCAAAGAGCATCTAGGCCATATGTAGTCAAGGGATTTTCAAATATGTCTTTGGGGAAATAGCTCATTGCTTGCTCTGTGGGGAGATGCATGCTGCAAACTCTTGGTTCCCCTCCACCACTTCTCTACAGCAGCCTGGATTTTATCTATTGTGTATGTAGTGTATACATAACTTTTTTGGCAAAGTGGATTTTGCTGCTAAAAAAGTTTGGAAGTAAGTTCTAGTCTAGACCTCTCATGTGCACTGAGACATTGCAACATCAGCATCACCTCAGTATTTGTTAGAAATGCAAATTATTAAATCCTACTCCTGACCTGAATCAGGTTGAGTGTAGTCAGCAATCTGGTTTATCAAGCCCTTCAGGTGATTGTGATGCATACTAAAGTTTGAGATCCACTGGTATAGAGTATCAAGCTACCCGAAGATTTAGGTTCCAGGCAAGCTCCACCACCTTTAATGGGAACAACCTTCTGCAAACTATGCCACAATTCTTTCATCTGTAGAAGAAGGATAATTTTTGCCTTATAGGCTTGTTATAAGGATCAAAAAATAGATATGAAAGTTCTCTCTAAAGCTTACCATGCTTTGTGTAAGTCATGTGCATTCATTACAGGGTTGGTGGGCCTTGAACTCAGGACTCAGGTCTCCAACTCCAGGACAGAGTGCTTTCTCCTGGCCCTCAAAGACTGACCTAATAAGGAGCAGGCTCTTTGAGCTCACTTCTAGTCCAGGTCCAAGGAGAGTAAGAGCGAACGGTCATTGGTGGTTAGAGTCCACCAGAAACCTGGGATTCTGAAACCAGGTTCCTTCAGATGGGAATGGGAGGGGAAGGGGGAGAACTGACCAGGAAGAAACCTTAGCTCCATGCCCTTGGATCTTTTCCAACTAGAGATCAGAGACTGGTTAGAAAAAGTCTTTGAACTGTACATATTTAATGGGGGAATAGGGCTGGGATTCAAGAGAAGGGAGCATAGATTATATTGTTATTCAAGAACAGTAATTGAGAGTCACCTCTTCTGACTGAAGATAATTCATTAGTGGTGAAGAAATTATTCCTGATCCTAAGGAACTCTCCATATTTCAGAGCTGTCTGCAGTCTGTATACCCACATAGCAGTGACAAGTGCTGACATGGAGGTACTGTTCAAGATGCCTGCAAGGCCCACTGGGGAAAAGGACTAACAACGCTTGGACAAGGAAGTGAGACAACTTAACAGAGGAGGTGACATTAACAGTCTTCAAAGGCAAAAGTTTACTAGTCAGAACAAGAAGTAGAAGGAAGGTAAAAGTCTGGAGGGGATAAGAATATGGCATGTTGAGGCATGAGTGAAGGGTCCAGGGTAATTGGAACATGAGTTATGTGAAGAATATGGTAGGTTGTGAGACAAGAATGGTAAGCCAGACAGGGATATGATCCAACTAGTTGATTTTCCACCTGTGTATTGGACATTGATTTGTCCCTTCTTGGAATTTTATTACCACTGTCCCTACCCTCATGCTGCCATGGCTCTCCAAGAAAATCTTAGTTTATTAATGTATTTTCTAAGTGTGCTTCATTCCCTCACAAGCACATAAGCTCCAGAAGACAATAACTGTTTCCTCTTCTCTGTCTCCTTAGCCCAGTATGGGCCAGGCCCCTATTTGGTATTCAGTAAGTACCTGATACATGTGTGCCTAAGAAATGTGAAAGGGGGCAGCAAGAGTAAAGAGGAAGAGTGGGGAAAGATGAGCACTCGTGGTCCCAAGAAGGATGATAAAGATAATCTGATTCACAAATAGCCCCTTCCAAAGGTTTTAAAGCTGGGCTCCCCTACAGCTACTGTGGCCACTTCTGCCTTTAGAATGAAAACGGCCACAGTTGGGGGTGAGGGTGAGGTGTGAGTAGGGTGTTCCAGAGAGGCCTGAGGGAAGAGCAGACACCACTGTGATACAGGACTCACTGGCCTGGGAGCAATGAGCCTTGGTTTCCAGTCCTGACTGCTCAGCTTTAGTCCAATCTCTGCAGTTCTCTGAGTCTCAGTTCCCATACTTATAACCTCATGGAGTTGATGCAGCTGAGCACTTCTGAATGACTTCTTTGAAGTGTCACCTGTCAGGCTGCTTTAGCTCTGATACTCTGCCTAAGGCCCAGCAGATAATATCTCTGTGACTCTGAGGCTATTCAGGGGAGAAACTATAGGTTGTTTGTGGAAGTAAGCCTGGCACTGAGCCCTCTACTTGTTTCTGACTCAACCAGTGGAGACCCAGTTCATCCCAGTGGGAAACACCAGTTGACTAGCACTTGGAGTTGTGTTAGTATACAAAAATTAGAGGGCACATGCTTTACTGTGTTAAAATGAAGATAAACTCATTTGGGGAGAACTTTACTTTTATAGCTTATCTCAAAATACAAGTCCCAAGGACACAAATTTAATTTTTTTAGGAACAAACTGGAGTGTGTGTATACGTAGGTGTGGTATGGCTTTTGTTGTTGATATTCTTAAAGAAACAGAGCCATTAGTGGTTAGTAGACAAATACTTTATGCAGTAAATAAGTGTGGTACAGTTCATTGTTGTCAGTGATACATCATTTTCATGATTATAGGTGAAACAAAATCTCAGGAAGTAGTCATAGCACATTCATGCTAGTGAGAACATACTGCAAAGCATTGCACGTGCATTATAGGGGCAGACAAAATTGGGGATGGGATATATTTTCACTCACCTCTGGTTGGCTTTGTGTATTTTGTCATTGAGACTTACGTTATGTTTGGGTCAAACAAAAAACCCAAAGAGGTTATATAAAAGTTTACGACCATTAAACAGTATTGTTTAATCCCACAAGTGGATAAAGCAAACTATTATAGCTCAATGATACACAAACCAGGACTAAAAATAGTCAATTTGCCTATGTATATAGCTAGCTACAATGTAATATTTAATATGCTGAGTCTTTTCAAAGACATTGACTACTTTAGACAAACAGGTTCCCAAAATATACTGGTTTGGTTTCCAATGAGAACTAACTGTAGTGCCACTTCAGTTGAAGACTGCAGTCTTCAGTTTCAGACCTGAGGAGTAGCAACTAGGGGAAGGCAGAAAAGGTTTAGGAGGAGACCTGAGCAGGGCTCTTTGGACAGCTCAACATTACTTTCCCTGTGCAGTTCCATACCTGGTTCACAGAGAAAAACAAAGTGTATTGAAACTGTTGGCCCTCAAAAAGGGCATTTGTACAAAGTCCCATACTTAACAGCATAGATAGAATGGTAACTGAGTGCCTCTCAAAATGAACTCTTCTATGTTAGAAGAAAACCCCGTGCCCAAGGTTAATGGGTATCAATATTTGAATTACTGTATAAAGATAATTTATTCTAAGATAGAAAAAATGGGTTTTAAAAGTATCCTGGAAACTAGCAGAGAAAGAGGAAAGGGAAGTTGTGTGTGTGTGTGTGTGTTTCATTACTTAGAAGAAGAAAAGTTTTGTAGACCATTTCCATAAGGCATCTGTCATTCCCCCTTCCATACCTTGTACCTTAAGAAAGTGCAATAGCTGTTATGTTACTATCGAAAAGGATCCTTTCCCTTAACGGTCTTACAGAAATGGTGCTCTTGACTGACCATACTACCCTAGACTCAACAATTTTTCAGGTCAAAATAAAAATAACAGCAGAATCACACACACAAAAAAAAATCACAAAATCTACAAAATCTAAGGCCTGAACAGGCAGACTTGCTATGAGTTCAGAAACTCAGTGAAATAATTAAAATTACAAAGCACCTCTTGCAAAATACACTGCTTCTTAAAAACCACACAAACACTGTGCAGTAATCCTCGCTGAGTGCTTGGAGGTAAATCTCCTGAAGGACACACGCTAAGCCCCAGAAAGGAAGCTTGATTTTATTATCAAGGGAGCCAAGGGGGTCCCAGTGCTTCTTTGTATTTGCTGTTTTATAAGTACAAACAGGAAAAGTCAAGAAGTGTTCTCACTTCAGTTTAAAAAAATGTTTCTCTAGTAACTTCACTAAGAACAAGCTGAATTTATGCATTCATAATTGTACAGCTCCATTTATAGATTATTGCAGATGATTCACTAAACACATTTTTACACAAAATCCCTTTTGCAAGAACATACTGAACTTAACAGGTTAAAGAGAACTTATGCAATATAATGCTTGAAACTGTACACAAAATAATTGTGTACATAGTAATAAAGAGGCCTTGAAAATTTGTCTTTGCCTATGAACTACTACTGCCCTCTGGAAATAAAAGCTTCCTCATGACCCTGGGGCTACTTCCCTGTGACATGTAGTACCACAAACATCTTGGTGAAAACCCAGTACCAAACCTAGTTAAAGATAAGTTTTGTACATTTGTTTCTATACAATTAGGAAAAAAGATAAAATTTGTATCAACAAAAGGTCATTTCTGGTTATTTGAGGCATTACTCTTAGCCACTTTGGTTCATACACATTTTATGAGAAGAGAAGAATAACAATTGTTTTAGGAAGAAATACATATCCTGCCTTGAAAAATAATTTCTGTTTTGGAAGGAGCTTACAATTTTTTTGAGTACTAAATCTGAACATGCTCAAGATGAATTGCAGCTGACAAGATTAGTCTTGTGCATCGTGTAAATTATACAGCTGGTGGATATGGTGGTGCCATTGAGGATTTTGGGAGGAACATAAGCTAACTGGTACAAAGGCAGTAGAGTCATCTAAGATTGTCAAATATCCTGATTTAGACATGGGACAGATTTAGAAGGTTTAGGTAGTTGAAGGTATGAAATGGTGTTTGTGTGAAATAGCAAACACATCAATGGCAGCTGTCATTCTCTATGGACCTATCTGACAGAAAATACCTCAGTATGCTGGGAGAAGAAAAGATCAGAGGATAGGAGATGAATTTGAAGCTGTAGTTAACTGAAGAGAAACATTGGTTAAGATGCAATTTTGATCAACTAGGACTGAGAAAGTCAGAAAGTAGCATGCAAACCATTATCAAACCACCAGAAACCACCCTGACTACAGCCTCACATTCGGAGTGTTTCATAGTAAGAAACTTTTATAGGCAGTTGTCAGACCATCTCATGAAGAAACAAAAGGCCGAGAACAGGCTTTTTCAACTTTCATGGCAAACGAACATAGAGATTAGCAAGTAATAGCTCAAGAAATAGCTGGTTGTGGTTCAAAATGTTAAAATATACAATGGATTCAAAAAGGGGGTTCATTTAGTGTACAGCTCAAGAAAAACAAAAACAATAAATGCCTCTTCTAAAGGCATTTAGCTACAAAGGTCCCACCCTGAGCAAGATACAAGTTGCACAAATGGTGCAGCTCAACCCAGAATTCTGCCGTCTATAGAAACACATTTAAGAATTATCTAAGGGCAAGTGCACCTTCTTTCCATGGATTTGAAATGAATAATAGCCAGCTATTCACAAAGATGTAGCATCCCCTTTTGGAAGCTGCCTTTTTCCACCTAGAAAAATCCCCTGGATTTGTTTCCTAAAGAAATTCTGCCCAACCAATGATCAACCTTACTGCCCTACTGGTGGACAGCCTCAGAAAGTGTGTTACATGGCTATGCACTGTCTTCCATTACATTTCATCCTGTGATGTTGAATGCTGCATAGGTCAAAAGTCCAAAGAGCATCCCTTTAGATTCTCCCTTGAGTGCAGCTTTTGTGTTCATCATTTAATGCCACATAAGTTTGGCCATTTCTTCTGGGATAAGAGAAGCAGATTCTGGTAGTAAATCCCTTGGTCTTGGTCAAACTCTTCTGCGCTTGTCTTGCACACGCCTACTATGCTTGGAACTTGATTTTATCCAACAGCTCTTCTGCAGAAGGTGGCTGCAATCTGATCCCTAATTTGCTGAGGTGAAGAGACTTGAAAGCTAAAAACTGTCAATAAATGTTGACAAGTAAAAAGTGCAAAGGAAAGAGCTATTTGCTCTGATGCCTAAGGAAGCAATGTTCAAATATTGGCATGTAATTTCACTTTCAAAGTATTTTTTGAAACTATAAATGTGACAAAATCAAGTCAGATTTGTGATCTGTAAGCTGTTAGACGAAGGACTGTGCAAAGCCTATCTTATCACTATGTAAAATGTTATGCAGAAATACACACATCTCAAACTAGATATATAGTCATTCATGCAATATAATTGTTAACAATATGTTTGAAATATATTTCTAGAAACTTCAATGTGACCCTATAGCTTGGTTAGCAAAGGTATTGAATGATCAGATATCCATGCAATAAAGTATGCATTTACTTTTAAATAGCTTTAAATATTCCTATGAAAAATCTCAAAAGGTTAATTCAACATATGATCTGATTCTGATGCTCTTGATCTCTAAATTAGTTTTATCATCATTACTTTGTAATACAGAATGTGTGACTAAGAAAACATTGGTAATGGAATTCCTTGGAGTTTCTTAAACTTAGACCTCCTCTCCTGGGTTTTGTCCTCCATTACCTGCACGGTGCAGAGCAAAAGGGCATGGGATTTGGATTCAGAGGACTTGAGTGTGACTTACCTCACAGGGTTGTTACACGCTTCAAGATATAACTTGTAAAGCGCAACACAAAATTAATAGTTACTATCATGGTATTAGTGCATTATTCATATTAGTATTCATATTTATATAAAGGGATGTATCCTATGTCATGTCAACGTGCAGCCCTAAGCTTAGAAACAATCAAGGCTGCCAGTTGCTGGGCATCTACTGTGTGTGGATTCTTCTCCATTACTGCAAGGACAATGTTTGAAGGAAAAATATTGCAGAGGTTCTTGTAGGTCTGATACTGGTGCTCTGGGATCCTATGCTCCCTGAAATCATTGCACATCCCAACCCAAGGATTCCTCCAAAGCTGCTCCATCTTTTCAGGCACACTTCTTACCATGACTGGCTCATAGCATGGTTGCATGAGGCTGTTACTCAAGGGATAAGAGTGGTAGCCATATGAGTCGGTTGCACAGGGCAGTGGGTCCCAGCTGGCATGTTGTTCCCGGCACAGAGGAGGTCGCCTTTGTCTCATGGGGTTGCTCTCATAGAGGCGGGAGTCAGAAATGCTGTCCATCCGAGTCATCACCAGGGCACGTCCTTGCTGGGGGGTGGCTCCAGGATGGATACTGGGAGGCATGGGATAGTCTGCAGGACAGCTGGAGCGTGGTCCAGTTGCTGAGTGCTGAGCATGCAGAACTAAGTGGGGGACTGACTGCTTGTGGTGGGCTTGCTTAGAATCCTCTGAGCCATAGCTCTGCACTCGTGTTAAGGCTTCATGGTAACCATGAGGAAAAGGCTGAAGATGGTTCTGAGATGCTGAGCGATGCAGCTTCAAACTGTCTTCAGGATGGGCATCAGCCACAGCCAAGTACAGGTTGTTATAAGAGGAATAGTTGTCATTCCTGGTATGGCTCATATGGCTGTCAGGACAGAGATTAGGATTCCGAGCATACATGCCCCTGTCTGCTTCAGCCATGTAGTACTCTCGGTTATGCATGCTGTTGATGTTCAGTTTGGAGAAGTCACCTAACATTGAATAGTAGCTGTGATCTCCCAAGGACTCAAACTTTGGGTATTGCTCAGCATAGTTAATAGGAGTCCCATGGCTATTGGTAACCAGAATAGGGGGGTACTGCATGCTGGCCATGTGCTCCAACGAGGCCTTCTGGTGGGGAAAATGAGAGGATCCTGGCACTGGGCTGCTGGCTGAACGGGTATTGAGTGCACCCACTGCATGGCTTTTGGGGGGTGGGATTGTAGGGACACTTAGGGCAGTCACAAGTGAGGGGACAGAGCTGGCCTCAGGTTTACGGGCAATTGACAACCATTCCTCAGGCTCTACAGCCACAGACCGGATGCTGGGATCTGACTGGCGCTTGGGGGCCACACGTTTGACTTCTGAGGTTATCTCACCTTTGGCACTAGACAACCCTGTGCCACATTTTGCCAGGGTACTTTCACTCATGGTTTTCACTGTGGACAGTTTGGCACTGATGCGGAGCTCATCAGCCACCGAACGCTGGGGTTGGTTGGCCCGCTCCGGGTGGTAGTATTTGCACTTGTGGCCGTAGGTGCATTTTTTGCCTGAAAAATAATGCCTTAGGGTAAGACTCTCTCTCATAGTGGTGCAAATCTCTGTGCCAGAAACTGTAGTAACAATCTGTTCACTCAGGTTAGAGCTTTACACTTTGGGTTTAAGGCAGAAAATTAACTGTCCATAAAGATGAGAGACAATACCAACGAGGCATCACACACTGTGAACGTAAAGGGAAGAAGTAGAAAGCTGGGGAGTAAACTGCAGTGTCAATGCTAAGAGCTGACTAGCTAAACCACCTTCATTTTCCTGTAATTCAAAATTTTGCCAAGGCATAAAACTGTATGCTGAGGTGGTATATAGCAGCAGCAGGCAGCATGGTATAGTGCAAAGAGCACAGGCTTGGAGGCCAATCAGACCTGAGTTTCAACTCCAGATGTTTCATTTACTAGCCATGTGACCTTAGTAAGTAACTTTTCTTTTTGAGCCTCATTTTCCCCTTCTATAAAGAATATTCATAATCATGCCTATATTATATGGTCATTGTGAAGAGTAAGTGAAGATAATAAACATGAAAATAGTTTATGATTTAAATGTTAATTCAGAACAGAAACCAAAATGTCTCATAAACAAATTATCCAAGAAGAGTGATCATACAAAGTAGCCTCAGACCAGGCAGCCCATGTTGCACTATTAGGCTCACAAACTTTCTATCAGAGCGACTTGGGTAAGATCGTGAAAGCACTGCATGAAACTAAATTTTTAAAAAAGCAGATGAAAATGAACTTGGGAAGCAAACTGGAAAGCACACATTAGAAGGAAAGGGTATTAATAGTTGAAGAGGGTACATTCATCTGCCTGAGAGACATCCTTCTCAGGGTCAAACCCAATTTAGCATTTTCGTTTTTGCTTCCACAGGCCATGTAGGTTTCTGCACTTCCATGCCCCTATGAACACTGTTAAGGACAGAGGCAGCTAGAACACATGCATCATTTTAACAAGTGACAATCTTCCCTTCAAATTCTAGATACATTTTCCTTGTGCCATTTCTAGGATGTTTCTTTAAATGAGTAACTGAGTATACATGAAGACACAGACTTTAACTCACAGAAAAAGGACAAGCCAGGATTTTTCATTTGAAAGGGAAATCTTGAAGAGAAACTACTCACAGAGTCCTTATGTTTCCCTTAATACAGAACTCAGTTCTGTCCATAGTGTACTCACCATAAGGGCATGGTTGCTTCTTGTGCTCAGGAACAATTGGTCTTTTTCTTAAGAAATTTTCAAGGCTTGGGCCATGGCGTCCTAAAGGATCATCTGGAGGCATAAATCTGAAAGCAAACAAGCAAGAGGTAAATGTCTTCCCTTCTGTCCACATTCACCCTATTCAGGAGTTCAAACCTTCATTACCTCTTGACTGTACTCTTGTCACAGCCTTCCAATTGCCCTTCCTGCCTCAGGTTTATCTTCTGCTAAGCCAACAGTTCTTCCTTCTGTTCCTACTTGATCACAAAAAAGGATACATTTTTGCTGTGCATCATTCTTCCATGGACTATATGTTCCAACCATAGTGGCATGCCTGCTCATTCCCCCAACATGCAACCTAATTTCACGTCTTCATGGCTTTATTCATGGTGTCCCCTTCACCTGTAAAACCCAGAAGCCTCCTTTCCTCTGTCTGTAAATCTCATCTCAAATGTCACCTCCTCTGTAAGCCTGTTTCTTATCATTTCATGTAGACAAAGTAATTTAAAAAACTTGAACCAGAGCACTTAATTAAAATACACTGTATTTGTCTCTCTCTTTCTTCTCCACTACACTTTGGGGCTCTTAAGGGTAAGTCCTGTTTCTTATTCAGCCTTTCATCCCCATGGTAACCAGCATAATGTGTAGTACCCAGTAAGTGTTCAATAAATGTTCATTGAAATGAAATCTATCCCTAGGGTAACTTAGATTTAGCCTATTCAGAGCCTACTGTAAAGAAACATACTTGTCATTCACAAAAGAATACATCAGCAACCGCTCCTCTATAAACTTCTTCCATTCTGGCTTTTCAACTTGAAGGTCTCTGTAGTTATCATTGGATACAATGATGCCATCAGAATCAAAAGCCAGTTTGACTATGAACCGGTCATCATAGCAGACAACTCTCCTGCCTTGGACCCTTCGCGATGGTGTAAAGACAAGAATCTTCTCCTTCTCCAGTTTACGCAGGATATCTTGATCTGTTGAAATATGGATTACATACCACAGAGTAAAAATTGTCTCTGGAAATTAACACCATTGTCCTCATATTACACATACAAAAGTTGGTTCTGGATGAGTACATTATTTGCCCTTAGAGAGAAAGTAACCTCTATTCCTGACTATGACACCAATTTGGATTGTGACCTTAGGCAAGTCAACTTTCCCCTTCAGACTTCAGTTCTCTTTTCAATAAGATAAAGGAACTGGATTCAATGACATCTAAGTTTTAAAAACTACTATGAAGAGTGAGAAATAACATTGATATCCTAGCATTTATGATGCTTGTTTTGCCCTTTGGCTGAAGCACCAGCTTTTGGTTGCTGAGGAAAACGGGAGTATGCTGAGGATGTGTCAGAGAGTAAAGCACAGCTCCTAGGAACTTACATTTTTGCCTACAACTAAGGAAGAACATAAAGCTGTAGTATGTGAGCACTGACCCCCTTTCCTTTTGGCCTTTTAGTTGCTAAGAAAGCTTGCAGGCTGGGCTCCAGCAAGGCCAGGATCTGCTCTGACTGAGGCTGGGAGCCTGTTCAGCAGCTGGCAGACAACTCGACACAGCTTACTGTCATTCACTGGACTTCCTCATTTGGCACATCGGGCAACAGCTGAGACACAGAGAACTGGGTCCATATGCTCTCAAATGCTGTAAAAAGCTAGCTTCATATACTATTGTAAGTGAATGTTGAGATTCTACTGATACTATGGCCACATCATGACTTTTTTAGACCTTAGACACTTGCTTTCTAGGTCCTTTCTTCCACAAAGAAATATTAAAAATTATACTTTACAACTGTGTTGGCATAAAAACAACCTAGTTAGATACATTATTATACATTCATTGTTATTGTTTTCATTTTTCCCTTCTGATATTAAAAGAAAAAAAATTAAAACTTTTCTGTGGGACCCTAAATGTATTGTGGGCTCTAGTCACTGGGATAACTGGCTCTGACTGTCATGGGGTTTTCCTCTCTATTATGCCCTATAATTTGCAAATCCCATGATCACTTCTCTGTTACACAATGAGGTCCATTGTCTACCATGGTTTCCTTAGTCTTTTGGAAAACTCAGTCACTTTCATAACTTGATTTAGCCCCCTTTAGTCTAAAGTCTATGGTCAAATAGAAAACCACTCCTTTTTTTAACTGTGTGCTTCATTATTTGCTGAATTGAGGTTTTTTCTATTTAACTACTATATGCCACAATATAATGGCTTTATTTGGGTCAAGAAAAAAATATGCTTAAAATGCACTTAAAAGGAATTTTAAGTGTAGTTAATAAACTTAGAAAAATATATATTGGGACCATTAACCTTTCCCCAAACTCTCTTGCTAGTTTTGTTTCTGGATGAGAAGAAATGCCTTATTTGAAATACCTGTAATTGGTGCATCAGGACGAGATTGCTCCTTCCTCCATGCAGGCACAAATACAGTAATATCCTTATGGCCTTTATCTAGAAACCAATCTACAGCAAGTTGGATTCCTCTGCAGGAGAACTCTTCTTTATTCCCATGGCTTTAGGAAGATAGAGAATGAAAGAAGAGAGGATTAACAACAAGTAGCAAAGAAATACTCCAAACAAGTTTTTTTCTTAGCACCAAGACATTGATAACACACATTTTCTTTCTCGATGATGCCAAAAATGTTTTTTTTAGGAGGCAGTCCAAGATGGCAGCATAGGTAGACCCTGAGTTTACCTACTCCCACCTAACCAAATCTATACCTATATAGAGAACAATTTCTCCTGAATTAAAACTGGAGGCTGATTGAACAGCTTCTGCACAACAAAGGATAGGTAAGGGCAGAAGAGTAGGAGACATGGTAATGGTGGAAACCCCACTCCTGATGTGGCAATCTGCAGCAGGGGAGGATATCACTGATGGGCTCACAGGAAGACTTGCCCACCTTGGAGCACAAGAAAATAGCTATTTAAAGGAAAATTAGAAAACAAGTGATGGAAATCCATTTACTAATCCTAAAGTATCTGCGAGACAGTAGAAGAACTGCTGGAAGTCAATTCAGGGTCACAGGTATGGATAAAGGCCATTATTTATATTCCCCCTCAACTTTGATAGTGTGGATGGGAGCAAATTCTAGGTGATCTAGGCAGCATGCTGTGGCAACCCATGAACCTTAGCCCCCTAGCCCACACCAACTGCAGCCATTCCACCTAGGCAGCCCTTGTGCAGCATGCTCTGGGAACCCGCTGGCCTGCACCTGACTCAGAAGTTTTGTTAGGACTGCCCTTGTGTGACATGTATCAGGACACTCCTGGCCTGAGCCCACTCCACCTACAGCCACCCTTCTAGGGTAGCCTTGGAGTAGAGTACCCTGGGAACTTCCCAGCCTGCACCTGCTGCAACTCCAGCCTTTCCACTGAGCAGGTGCTGCATGCCCCACAATACCCCTAGTCCAAAACCACTCTATCTCTGGCAGGCCAGCCAGAGCTGCCAGGCACACACACAGCATACACAGGGAACATTCCTATACAAGACCACTTATTCAGGACGGGGAGAGGTAGCTGTTCTATTTAATGCATATAAACCAATCCAGAGAGTACAGCAAAATGAAGTAACAAGAATATGTTCCAAATGAGATAATAAAACCCCAGAAAAAAACCTTAATGAAGTGGAGAAAAATAATTAACCAAATTAAGAGTTCAAAATAATGGTCATAAAGACACAGAACTCTTTAACAAAGAGTTAGAAAATATAAGAAAGTACTAAACAGAAGTCAGAGAGCTGAAGAATGCAATAATTAAACTGAAAAATACACTAGAGGAAATCAACAGCAGATTAGACGATGCAGAAGGGATCAGCAAACTAGAAAATACAATAGTGGAAATCACCCAATCAGAAGAGCAAAAAGAAAAAAGAATTTTTGAAAAATGAGATTAAGGGATCTTTGGGACAACATCAAGCACAATAACATTCACATTATAGGGGTCCTATAAGGAGAAGAGAGAAAGAAAACTTATTTGAAAAAAACAATGGCTGAAAACTTTCCTAATTTGGGGAAGAAAATACACATCCAGGTCCAGGAAAAACAGAGAGTCCCAAATAAGATGAACACAAAGAGATCTATACCAAGGCATATTACAATTAAAGTGGCAAAATTTAAAGGTGAAAAGAAAATCTTAAAGGCAGCAAGACAGAAGCAAATACATACAAGGGAAACCCTCTAAGACTATCACTTGATTTGTCAGCGGAAACTTTACAGACCAGAAAAGAGTGGCAGGATATATTTAACATGCTGAAAGGAAAAGCTTACAACCAAAAATAATCTACCTGACAAGGTTATATCATTCACAGTTGAAAGAGAGATAAGAATTTCTCAGACAAGCAAAAGTTTATACAACACTAAACTGGCTGTATAAAGAATGTTAAAAGGGTCTTCACTAAGCAGAGAAGAAAAGGCTGTAACTAGAAATATGAAAGTAAATGAAAAGAATATCACTGGTAAAGGAAGTAAATCAGCCACTTAGAAAGTACAAATGAAAGTACAGCATAGAGGGATATAGTCAATAGTTCTGTAAAATCTATGTTGATAGATAATAACTGCACTAGTTGGGTTGGAGATTTAATAATGAAACTTGAATTACTATGTTTTATACTTGAAACAAATACAATATCAGCTTAACTTCAATAACAAAATACATCAAAATAGGAGCCAAGATGGCGGTGTGAGTAGGACAGCAGAAATCTCCCAAAAACATATATATTTTTGAAAATACAACAAATACAACTATTCCTAAAAGAGAGACTGGAAGATACAGGACAACAGCCCAGCTACATCTATATCTGTGAGAACCCAGCGCCTCACGAAGGGGGTAAGATACAAGTCGTGGCCCAGCGGGACCCAAGAGACACCCCTATCCCAGCTCCCTGGTGGGAGGAGAGGAGTCAGAGCGGGAAGGGAGAGGGAGCCCAGGACTGCTATATACCCAGCCTTAATCATCCGCACTGGGAGCACAGACACACAGTGCGTGGTGTGCTGGATACTAGGGAAATGGGACAGTAAAACCTGCAGAGCAGGTCCCCACAGCTGAATGCCCCAGGGACAAAAGAAAAGCGAGTGCTTTTTGAAAGTCTTAAAGAGACAGGGGCCTCGCAGCTGGATGGAAGTGTATCGGTGCACACAGCCCAGCAGCTGGGAATGACGGGGAACTCCGGGTACCCTAACCCCCTGGGCAGCAGCCCAGCTCTGAGGCTCCTCACAGCAATAAACAGCCTCCCACCTGTTCCCCCTTGGGGATAGCTCTAAAATAACAGAGCAGCAGTCTGAGGCCAGCCATGCCCACAGCAGCCGCCCGAGCCAGACTTAGAGGCCTCCATGCAGCTGCCCAGCACAAGGCACTAGGGGTAGCCATTCTCCAGAAGAGGAATGCAAGGAGCAAGCAGGAAGGGATTTTGTTCTCCCAGCTGACACATCTGCCATCTGCCCATCACCATGAAAAGGCAGAAGAATTTGATTCAGACCAGAATCACACAGACATACTCCCCTGAGAAGGAACCTGGGGAGATAGACCTAACCAATCTTCCTGAAAAAGAATTCAAAATAAAGCTCATAACCATGCTGATGGACTTGCAGAGAAATATGCAAGAGATAAGGAGGAAAAATAAAGAAATAAAACAATCTCTGGAAGGACTTAAAATCAGAATGGACGAGATATAAGAGGCCATTGATAGAATAGAAATAGGACAATGGGAATGCAGAGAAGCTGACACAGAGAGAGATAAAAGGATCTCCAGGAATGAAAGACTATTAAGAGAACTGTGTGACCAATCCAAACTGAACAATATCTGCATTACAGGGGTACCAGAAGAACAGAGGGAAAAAGGGATAGAAAGTGTATTTGAAGAAATAATTGCTGAAAACTTCCCCAAACTGGGGGAGGAAATAGCCTCTCAGACCACAGAAGCACACAGAAGTCCCAACACAAGGGACCCAAGGAGGACAAAACCAAGACACATAATAATTAAAATGGCAAAGATCAAAGACAAGGACAGAGTATTAAAGGCAGCCAGAGAGAGAAAAAAGGTCACATACAAAGGAAAACCCATCAGGCTGTCATCAGACTTCTCAACAGAAACCTTACAGGCCAGAAGAGAATGGCATGATATATTTAATGCAATGAAACAGAAGGGCCTTGAACCAAGGATACTGTATCCAGCACAATTATCATTTAAATATGAAGGAGGGATTAAACAATTCCCAGACAAGCAAAAGTTGAGGAAATTTTCCTCCCACAAACCACCTCTACAGGGTATTTTAGAAGGACTGCTCTAGATGGAATCACTCCTAAGGCTAAACAGGTGTCACCAGAGAAAATAAAATCACATTAAAGAAAGCTGATAAATCAAATACTAACTAAAGGCAAAAAATAAAATCAACTACCCACAAAAGCAGTAAAAGGAAACACAAAAGAGCACAGAATAAAATATCTATCATATAAAGAATGGAGGAGGAGGAATAAGAAGGGAGAGAAATAAAGAATCATCAGATTGTGTTTATAATAGCTCAATAAGTGAGTTAAGTTAGACAGTAAGATAGTAAAGAAGCTAATCTTGAACCTTTGGTAACCACGAACCTAAAGCCTGCAGTGGTAATAAGTACATATCTTTCAGTAATCACCCTAAATGTAAATGGACTGAATACACCAATCAAAAGACACAGACTAATAAAATGGGAAAAAAAGCAAGACCCATCTGTATGCTGTTTACAAGAGACTCACCTCAAACCCAAAGACAAACCCAGATTAAAACTCAAGGGATGGAAAAAGATATTTCACGCAAACAAGGACAAAAAAATAGGTGTTGCAGTACTAGTATCAGACAAAATAGACTTCAAAACAAAGTCACAGGAGATAAAGGACATTATATAATGATAAAGGGGTCAATACAACAAGAGGATATAACCATTATAAATATATAGGCACCCGATAAGGATCACGGGAAGCTGGCAGTGTGAGTTCAGTGCAAATCTCCTCCCCAAAACATACATATTTATGAAAATACAATAAATACAACTATTCCTAAAAGAGACACCAGTGGATGCAGTACAACAGCCAGGATACATCTACATCTGTGAGAACTCAACATCACACAAAGGGGGTAAGATACAAGCCATGGCCAGGCAGGACCTGAACGTTCCCCCACCCCAGAACCCAGTGGGAAGAAAGGAGTTGGAATGGGGAGGGAGTGAAAGCCCAGGACTGCTAAACAACCAGCTCTAGAAATCCGCACCCGGAGTGCAGACACAAGGTGCCTGGGGTGCTGGATATTAGAGAAATGAAAAAGCAAAACCTGTGGGCAGGTCCCTGCAACTGGCATCCCTGAGACAAAAGAAAAGCGAGTGCTTTTTGCAAGTCTTAAAGAGACAAGGAATCCCATCGCTGGACAAAGTTGTCCCGGCAGCTCGGAATCCCAGGGAACATTAGACGCCCTAAACCCCAAGGTGGCAGTGCAGCCCCGAAGCCCCTCATGGCACAAAGCAGCCTGTCAGTCATTCCTCGA